CTGCTACCCCGCAAAAACCTGCTGCTTGCTCACTATGACTTCCAATTCAGATGGCAAAGCTTTCTACTGTCCAGGACCTCAAACCTTGGCATCACGTTTTTGTCTCCCCGCTTCATCCCACACCTCAAGTCCAAATCTAGCACTTGTTTCCTTTGCCTAGAATGCTGGTCCCTCACTTCCATCTGAATAGCTTTTTTTTTTTCCTGTCTTTTTGAGACAGGGTTTCGCTATGCAGCTGAAACGGTCCTTGAGCTCACTTTGTAGCCCAGGATGGTCTTGAACTCACAACAATCCTCCTGCCTCAGCTTCCCATGAATGGCCTGTTCCTTCCCCTCCCTCAAATCCTGCTCCAGAGACCTCAGTGAGGCATTCTTCCTATTATAAACTCCCTGCCCCACTTAGGAGGCTGAGGCAGGATAAGCACCATGAGTTTAAGGGCATCTTGAACTACAGAGTGAGCCCTTGTCTTAAAAAAACAAAAAACGATGAAAAGGAAACATAAGAAAAAAAATAACTGTACATTAGGGTAGTTTTTTGGCCTATAAAAAGGTTAAAAATAGCATTTAAAGCAACTGTTAATACTAAGTGGTCAGTATAATGTACAAAATCTACTAGTTTCAATCTTGCATCTCTATTTGTTTTCCTGAGAAACCACTTTGAAGATATCAATATGTAATACAACAACCATTGTTGATTTCCTACCACTTTGTCTGTAACTCTGTATTGTTCGTATTGTTCTTACGCTATGTCGTAAATAGATGTCTGTTTGTTAAAAAAAAAAGAATAAAAAAATAAAATCTACTAGTTAGTTAAGAGTTAATCTTCCACAAAAGTTCTTGTTTAGTTGCCCCTTCTCTAGGAGACCATGTTACATACTCCTGCTGGCTGTGATCCTCCTAAATTTTACCACGGTTTACAATAACAGTAAGAAATAATATACTATTTAAATACTCACATTCCTTGGATTAAGTAGCCTTGCAATTATTTTAAATTAAACTAATCTGACTAATCTGTTTTTGTGTGCAATTATGAATTCATAGTCATAAAATAACTGTATTTTTCCTTTCCGTAGGCCTGTGCTAACCTTAACCCTAACCACTAGTTACACGCAGTTAATTAAGCTTAACTAAAATAAAATTCTCAGTTGTCCTAACCTCATTTCAAATGCTCAATGCTACATGTAGCTAGAAGCTACCATGTTGTACAGCATCCGATCATTCTATAGGGCAGAACTACTACAGAATGTTGCTAAAACTTTATGTTAAAGCATAAAATGGAGTTAGCTGAAACACTGGCAGAACTTAATCTTGTAATTTTAAATTCTCTACATTTATGGCTCTAAAAATACGGTCCCAGTACCACAGAATTTGTTTGCCACTTAAAAATTTGTTAGAAATACAAATTATTGCACCTCACCTATTTATTTTAATAAGGCTGATCACAAGACATTCTGAAACATGCTCAAGAGCATATTTAGAGTTCCTGTTCTAACTTACTAAAAGACCACATATCAAGCTTCATGTCCGGGCATGGTGGTACACGTTCTATAATCCCAACACTCAGGAGGCTGAAGCAAGAGGATCACCACAAATTCGATGCAGCCTGGGCTACCTAGTGAGTTGAAGGCCAGCCTGAACTGCACAGTGAGACCCTGTCTCAAAAAAACAAAAACAACAAGCAAAACAAAAAAAGATTAACATCACAAAAGCCATAAAATGGCAAGAAATCAACATTACACTCCAAAAGTCTAAAAATGGGGCCAGGGATATAGCTCGGCGGCACAAGCACCTGCCTGGCAAGCGCAAGGTCCTGAGTTTGATTCCCGATGCAAAAAATAAAATAAAATAAAATAAGTCTAAAACTGATGTATCAACTATGAAATCACACCCAATTTTTTTACACCCAATTTTATTTCTATTACACTGTCTTCTGATACAAAATAAAAGCTCAGGGCTGGGGATTTAGCTCAGCGGCAAAGCGCCTGCCTGGCAAGCGCAAGGTCATGAGTTCGGTTCCCGGTACCGGAGAAAAACAAAAATAAATAAATAAATAAGTAAATAAAAATAAAAGCTCAGTAAATGTTTTCAATAAATTATATTAAAATTAAGTAAATTATGAACTTATCTTTTAAAAACAGTAAAACCATAAAACTGCCTCCTTTTATAGTTTCTTCATTCCTTTTCACTTTAATGTAAGCATAATCATATTTCCATCTTTTTCTAAGGTTTAATTAAAAGCCTTTAATTCACAGGGTAGGAGATGTAATTTAGTGGCAGAGTGTTTGCTTCATGTGCACAAGTCTCTGGATTCTAATCCCCACGGCTAAAAAAAAACCCTTTAGTTTAACAAGAATTCACAGAGGAGAAATTGAGGAAGAAAGTATTCTCAAACTGTGCCAACCGTAATTTTTTATATAGGCACATATTTTTATATCATTTTTTTTGCAGTACTGCAAATTGAATCCAGGGCCCCATTTATCCTAGGCATGAGCTCTAACAGTGAGCTAAATCTCGACACAAATATTGCTTTTATAATAAATGAATAAGTCAAAAAGAAATTATCTAGAATTACCTCATCAAAAAGTTTAAAGTTGCACAAGTGTAACAAAAGAAGCTGAAGAGCTTGAGTACTCTAGTTTCCTCTAACCGATAACAGATCTAGTATAGAGCTAAGTATTTCCATTATCAACACCCATGGATGTTAAATATTCCTTATTAAATTATCTGACAGAAAAAAACATGCTTAGCTGGCCTCAGTGGTACATGCCTGTAATCGCAGCATTCAGGAGGGTGAGGCAGGAGGATTGCTGTGAGTTCAAACCAGCCTAACCTATACAGCAACCTTGTCTCAAGAAAAAGAGAAAACATGCTTAGAAATTTTAGCTAAGCACGGTAATGCAACACATTAAAATTATTATAACACTACTGGGAAGCTATCTAGTCTTGCCTTACCACAAATTTGCCCCCAAAACAAAAACACTGTAAGAACTTGACAACAAATTTCTGCCACAGCCCAGTGTCTACTATGATAACCTACTAATGGAAAATCACTTAGTCATAATTCATGTATTAAACGTTGTATACTTTAAACAGCAGGCACTTAGGTCATGTTAAAGCAGTTTATAAAAATATTTACAGTGGGGCATGGTGGCACACACCTGTAATCCTAGCACTCCAGAGGCTGAGGCAGGAGGAAAACTTCGAGTTCGAGGCCAGCCTGGGCCACAAAGTGAGCTCAAGGCCAGCCTGAACTGCATAGTGAGACCAGACACTGTCTCAAAAAAGATACACACGCACAAAAAAAAAATTTACAAAGTACTGAACTTGTGCAATTCATGAGCACTGAAATCACACTTCATACTATTACCTCAGCACATAAATGTCAAATATCCTTCCATAAAGTGAGTGCTGGCAATGGTTGATAAAATTTTGACATCTCAACATCCTTCGTTACCTTCCATTACTAAACACTAAAGACACAATTTCCATATTTCATGTATTGTTTTTAAAAAGCTAAATGGCCAGGCGTGGAGGTGCATGCCTGTAATCCCAGCACTTGGGAGACTAGGGCAGGAGAATCGTTGCAAGTTCAAGACCAGCCTGGGCTACAAAGTGAGCTCAAAACCAGCCTGAACTGCATAATAAGAGCCTGTCTCAAAAAGACAAAAAATAAATAAATAATAATAAATAAATAAAAAGCTAAATGAATACATTAAGTGATAACCACTCCTATATATTTTTCTCATTTACCGTTATATTCCTACAACAGATCTAGGCATATAATGGACACTTAATAGGCATTTGTGGGGAAAAAAAGGAATGGATACTAAGATCTTTGAGGAGATATAAAAATTATTTTTTAAAACAGGGGCCCTAGCTCTTCACCAGACTACAAATGGGAGTTGACAAATGAGGTAAACACATGAAAAGGTAAAAATCGCAGGGCAATTAAAATTATCGCTCAGCAGTATATAATTATTCGCAAAGACAGTGGCAAAGACAGAGCTATAAATTATGACCAGAGTGCATTATGGACTTCAGTCCTTCCGGTCTCCCGACCAGTGAGGGACAGTGTATTTTAATTTAAAAAGAAGAAGTGACACAGCACTCATCCCACCCTAAAATTATCATAGGAGGGAAAAATACAATAACTAACAAAAATAATATAAAGAAATTTCCACGTACGGTTTTTAAGACCTAGGGTAGCACTGAAAAAAGTTGAACATTCCACAAGCACAAACGTTTGCTGGATTCAGGACCACGGAAGGCTCCATCATTCCAAGGCTCAGGAACAGCAACCCCTGGGCCTCTCTTCCTCCGCCCCCCACGGAGCTTTCCGCTGGACAGCCGCCCGAGAAATTTCTCCCAGCATCCGCAATGGCTATACTCTCATCCTCCTCTCCCTCCCCGCGCTCGTATCAGACAGTGGCATCTCCCTCCAGAGGAAAAAACGGAGGGCGGGGGAGGCAGAATCGGAGAGAGAGCTTGCAGCGAGGTCGCTTGAGGAGGAGGAGGAGAAGGCAGAGAAGGAGGAGAAGGAGGAGAAGGCAGAGAAGGAGGAGAAGGAGGAGGAGGAGGAGGAGGAGGAGGAGGAGGATGGTGAGAAAACGCGAGGACCGAAGGTGCGGTTCGCTGTGGCGACCCACTCTCTAGGAATCCAAGCCCGCACCTACCTACCCCAAAGTCACGCCCCTCGCCTGGCAGGCCGCGGACACAGAGACAACCCTACCACCTGTCCCGCACCCCTTGCCCCCACCCCCGCTGGAGAAGAATGTCCCTGCCCCAAAAGCAGTGGCCCCTTGCTCATTCTCTCGTCCAGTCCACATCGCCGCCGAGTGACAGGTCCCGAGGGGAGCGGGGGGGGGACGGCTGGTGCAACCGCGCGCCGAGCCCCTCCAACAGGCACGGGGGTGCAGACAGAACGTTCCGGACAGCCCAGGGGGATCCAGTCCAGGCCCAGCCTCCCCCAGCTGGCCCACACCGGGCGGGGGTGGCACTTACTGCGGAGGTTGTGGATTAGCTCCGAGTGGCTGGCGCCGCCGGATTTCCAGGCCATCGCGAAGCACACCCGGAGCAGGTACAGAATCACCTTCAGTGCGGCGACGGTGCCTAGTAGTTTTCCCAAGAGCGAGACCACTTCCCACACGGTCACCGCCCCGCTCGCGTCCGCGCTGGAGCCGCCGCTTTTACTGCCGTCGCCGCCGCTGCCGCCACTGCGCGCTCCCGGCATCCCCTGCGGCACGCATGCGCTCTGTGACGCCGCCGAGAGGGGTGCGGCCGGGTGGGGCCGGAGGCGGGAAAGCCGGTAGCCCCCTGCCGGGCGGGTGCTAGTGGCTGCCGTGGCTGCCCTGCCGCCTCGGGAAAGCCGGCTGAGTCAGCACAGCTGCCTCTGCGTGCCCCTTCCCGAGGCCGCCGCACCGCCTTCGTACTGCGGCTCCGGGCGCAGCGGGTCTCGGGGCTGGCTGCAGCTCCTGTCGCCGAGCGCGGCTGCAGGATGGCAGGGCAGAACTTTGTCGCCGCTGCTGTGGCTCCGCAGTCGCCTCTTGGTCAGGTGTTGCGAGCGGCAGATCTGCTCCTATAGCTGTCCAGATTGTTGGACGGTGGGCTTCCTCCGGCCTGCCTCACCCAACCCTACTGACGGATATTTAGATCGATTGGAGTTAGGCTCCCAGTGATGGAACCGGGATCGTATTAACAGAGCCCAAGGGCAAAGGCCTTCTCTAACCTGAGAACGCGAACCTCCTGTTTTGTGAGGAGCACATCACTGATTAAGCAAAAGACTTTGGGGCCTGGTTTGTTCTCGACTGTAAAGCACAAATTCAGAGTGGAAGACTACCAGGACATGGGGGTGGAGTAGGGAAATAAGCTTTGCTCATCTAGAACAAGACAAACGTAAAGAGCTATGATTGGTTAAAAAATACCACAGTATCCTATGGTAAATCTAATATTCTCCCAATGCAAGTATGCGTTGTCACTTAACCGTAAAATGGGCGCTCTCAGCTCTTCAGAATCACGAGAATCAGAGAGCGCTGCGATCGCATCCAAATTGCTGGCTCCTAGATAGAACTGCAACTGACAGAATCCAGCCATCTTTTAGTCCGGTGAACTTTTAGGAAGGAAATAAAGATGTGCCAAAACAGCTGTGCTGCTACATCAGCATCAATTTCCAAATTCTGTTTCTTAAATTTTTGTCAAATGTGACACAGCCTGCTTGTGGCCCAAAATATACATTACCTATTAATGGTCTGGGACCGTTAATAAACCCACTGGCAAAATAGTTTTTACTTCGATGTTAGGAATGTAATCTGTAGTTTGGGACTCTAATCCATGTTATAGGGACTCTAATCCATGTTTTCCATTCTATGTTTTCTCCGGGAAAACCGCAATAAACCATTTGCTCTTAATTTCTGGATAAAGTCTCTAGACTTCGTGTGTTCTTAGTTGTTTTTCTTGAGTTAGGCCGTTTTATCCATATTTCTTACTTGCATTTCTAGACTGAAACTGCTCCACCTGCACCTAGCCATTTAACTTTAGTTGTGTATGAATAACATCTCTCTGGTGTGAGGGACAAAATGGTAATTGTTGATGAAGTTAGATCCAATCGTTTTTCCTCCATGTCTCAGCCCGTAAATATACAGATTGTAAATTTGAGACTGGCTTTCCCATTTCCACATATTTGGTTACCTACTGAATAAACTTTTTTTTGGATGAAACAACGTTTTAATGATGAGCACACTGCACACAGGCAAAATAAATCTGGTTTGGAAACAGCTTTCCTGTTGAAAAAATAATTGTCTTTAAAGTTGACCTAAATGGATTGTACTACAGGCAGTGCTTCCATAAGCTGTGGTTGTGACATGGCACTACCAGTATCAGATAAAACAATGTATCATGGTCCTTTTTTTGTTTGTTTGTTTGTTTGTTTGTTTGTTTGTTTTTTGGAGACAGGTCTCTCTATGCAGTTCAGGCTGGCCTTGAGCTCACTTTGTAGCCCAGGCTGGTCTCAAACTGGCAGCAATCCTCTTGCCTCAGCCTCCTGAGTGCTGGGATTATAGGTGTGCACCACCACGCCCAGCTTCATGGACGCTTTTGAAGAAACAGCCAACACACTCTTACGAATACCTATAGTGGAAAGGAGATTTAAAGGATAAATCATATTTCTTGTGTTCAATAGGATTTACATTCCAAGGAGAAGGGTGTGCATCAAAAGAACTAATAGGGGCAAAATGTACGTGCCATGAGTGGTCTAGAGAACAAGTGTTGCTTTTAGTTAGATCATCATGACCTAGTGTCCTTAGGAAAAGGTACAGGAAAGACTGCTCCTTGCGGGATGGGCAGGATTCTGAGAGACAGAACTGAATAGGATATTATAATCAACAGCCCAGAAGCAACGTAGAGCACGGATTCGCGGGCTCTTGAAATTAGCACCAAATTAATTCTTAATAAAACGGGCATAGAAGCTAAAATCAGAGTTTTCACAATTCCAGCTCCAGCTTCTGTCTGACAGACTGTCACCTTTATAATCTCCCCCCACTCTTGTGTGTTAATTTTCAAGCAAAGAATTTGTGGTACAAAGAACCAAAGCTTTAGCATAAATTATTAACATTAGTCGAGATACCTCCAATTTAGTTATTTTTAAACGTTTTCTATGCTTCGATATAAAATTACCAAAGTGGTTTCTCTGCATATTGATTTTAACTCTTAAATTTGTTTTACATTGCACAAATACACTGCTTCAGTGTAGCTATCAGATCTGCAAATTAGGAACAGATTTTATTGCACAATGACATAGACCCTATTCAGTGAAGGCTTCTAAGGTTCCCCTATCCCGGTATTAGCCTTGCAGGCGCTAGCTACTGACAAGAATTGGCTCTCTGCAGCCACCGTCTTCACGTGAGGTCCCGTCCAATCAGGGCTGGCGGGAAGGGGTGGGGCCGAGAGGCGCGCGGTGCGCTTCTTGCTGTACTTAAGAGCGTTTGATTTCATCATGGAGAGTATTTGTGCTAAGTTTGTGTCTCAGAAAATCAGCAAAACCCGTTGGCGACCGCTGCCGCCCGGGAGCCTGCAAACCTCGGAGACCTTTGCTACGGGATCTTGGGACAATGAGGTATCCCCGCTCCTGAGTAGCCCCTGGCTTCTCTAGGGCTTCCCGCTCCGTGTCACCGGCGCGCAAACTCACTTTCCTGCTCTTTTCGCTTTTCTTGATCCCCGATCACCTGTCTCGGGCTCAGTTGTCCTTTAACTCGAGATGTACTTCAATCTTGTATCTCGTTTTAAACTCCTACCATATTATCCGTTTAATGTGCTTTTGAAAAACGGCCATAGGAATACAAATTTTACTTTTCAAGAGATGACATCATTTCAAGATAAAACCTTTTGCTTTACAGGACAATTATGTTTCACTGTGGTCTATTGGAGATTTTGGAAATCTGGACTCTGATGGCGGGTTTGAAGGAGACCATCAATTATTGTGCGATATCAGACATGATGGTGATGTCATGGATTTACAGGTAAATCTTAAAATTAAAAAAAAAAAAGATAAATCTGTGTTGTAACTGAAAGGTTTTTTGTTGTTGTTGTTGTTGTTGTTTTTTGAGACCGAGTCTCACTATGTAGTCCAGCCTGGCCTTGAACTCACTATATAGCCAAGGCTGATCTGGAACTCATGTGAATCCTCCTGCCTCAGCCTCCCTAGTACTAGGATTGCAGGCATGTACCAACCATACCCGGCTAGAATTGAGTTTTGAAATCTCCTAAAAACTCCCTAACTAGTAATTAGTACTCCCCCTTTTAAAGCTTCGCTAAAACTTAAAGAACTTAGAATCTCTAAGAAAATCTCAAAGTAGGTCTGGTAGTTCACACCTCTAATTACAGCATTAGCAAGGGACAGGTAGGAGGATCCCTGGGAGTTGAAGGCCCATCCTAGGATACATAGAGAGACCCTGTGTCAGAAAGAAAAAAAGAAAGAAAGGAAGAAAGTCTAAGAAAAGAAACCAGTAGTAAATGAAGGATATGAAATTAAATTTTCAAAGCTGGATGTGGTAGTGGGTGCCTATAGTCCTAGCTACTAGGGAGGCTGAAGCAGAAGGATCTCTTGAAACTAGGACTTTAAGATCAATCTGGGTAACACAAAGATAATTCATCTAAAAAAAATTAAGTTTTCAAGTCCAGGTCTGTGTGACTTCAAAGTCTATGCATTTTACTCTAGAAATCTGTCTATCCCTGGCAATAATACTTTTCTAAATTTTTTTATTGATATTATTGATAATTGACATTACCCTTCATGAAAATAATTTTATTTGTATAGCAGTTTTCAGTTTGAGATCTGTTAACACATTTTACTTGCTAAGCGTCTATCTTTTAATTTTCTCTCATTGCTCAGAGAAAGTCCCCCACCCAAAGTTAAAGGAGGAAAGGTTTGTTTAACTCACAGTTTATAGAGGTTTCAGTCCATAATCGGCTGGCTCCAAAGCAGGGTGGCACATGGCAGAAGGGCACCAGTTCATGACAGCAGAAGACAGCAAAAGCAACAAGGAAGGAGGAGAGACAAGGCTCTTTCTATCCTTTATATGGTAGCCAGTGTAGGATTAGGGCAGTGCCAATCTAATCAGTGGACTAATCAATAATCACCCAACTTTAATCTTTGTAGCACCCTTAATCGTAGCATTGCACTACAAATCAATCTCACAGCCTAGATGGAGCCATCTCAAAAAAAAAACCCTATGACCAACCACATGAAGCTTAGTAGGGGGAAACATCTAGACACAAACCATAACAGCGTGTATAGGCTCTTTTGGTTTGGAAATTTTTATAGGCTTTACCACTAATTAAGTTGAACAAATGGGCTTTTTGCTACTAAAATTTCTGTATCTCTAACAAGAGGAATTTTCTATTTAGTTTTTTGACCAGGAAAGAATTGTAGCTGCTTCATCAACTGGATGTGTAACAGTTTTCCTTCACCATACAAATAACCAGGTAAGAACTTTTGCATGAGAACCGAGTTATACTTTAGTTATTTTTATAAATGGCTTAAAAAAAAAATGTGCTAGGCTGAGAGTATAGCTCAGCAGTGCGGGACCTGCTTGGCAAGTGTGAGGTGCTGAGTTCCGTTCCCAAAGAAAAAAAATGTACTTAAAATTTTGCAAACAATAAAGTGTTAAAACATGAAACAAACCAACTGTGGTGGCAGGTGCCCCAGGCATTCAAGAACCTCAGACTGGAAGATTACTTGAGTCCAGGAGTTGAAAAGCAGTCTGGGCAATATATCACAAATCAATTTTTAAAAAGAAAAGAGTATGTAGTTAATGCTAAGCTATACCCACTGCCGCCTTTTACCCACTCATTGGCAGATTAATTCTAGAACCATGTTTGTGCTTTTATGGAAATTGGGCTTCCCTTAAATAAATTCTATTAATTAGACCTAACAATGTGATACTCTGGTGAGTACTTTTCCTGGAAGTTTTCCTCTTGTGTTTCTATTCTAGTCTTTTGAAGAAAGACAGAGCATCTTCTAGCTCAGATACTATGAAGGAGAACAGGAACAGCTATTTTGCTTCTATGAATAGAACACAGGTCTTAATTAGAAGAGAGGATTCCTTACATGAAGACTGAAGACTTGACTACTTTTTAGTCAAGATGAAATCATCTAGAAGCTGTAGGTACTTATTTTCTAGATGTAGCCCAATTCCTATAAGAATTTATAATCATGGTTTTGAACATTCACCTTCTTTTTTTTGTCTTTTTGAGACAGGGTCTCGCTATGAAGTTCAGGCTGGCCTTGAGCTTACTTGGTAGCCCAGGCTGATCTCGAACTTGCAAGGATCCTCCTGCCTCAGCCTCCCAAATGCTGGGATTACAGGAGTGCACCCCACGCCTGGCCCTGTGAGTTTAATTTAGTATACACAAAGCCTAAAATACAGAGGAGCTAGGCATGGTGGTACATACCTGTAATTCCAGTACTTGGGAAGCTGAGGCAGGAAGATCACTGAGTTCAAGGCCAGTGAGTTCAAGGTCTGCCTGAATTGCATACTGAAACCCTATCTCAAAAAGACACCACCCCCATACAAAGTAGAGAATGAGTTATTTTTCTAAAAGGGTGTGAGAATTTTGAAATAATCTTATTGCAGAAAAGTATTCATTCTTTAGAATTTTGCTTGGATTAATAATATCCTCATTTCTGGTGTCTAGACCTTATCGGTCAACCAGCAGTGGAAGACAGCTCACCACCACACAAAGCCTTACAGTCCTGTCTATAGAGGTGCACCCTGCACAGGTATTGTGTGTGACAACCCAGAAATTGTCACAGTTGGAGAAGATGGTCGAATAAATCTCTTCAGAGTTGACCACAAGGAAGCCGTAAGAACTATAGGTAAGAATATTTCTTTCATCTATCACATCGTGATTCAGTGCTTATGATATGCTGATTAAGTGCCAGATGTTTAAGAGATATAAAAATATACAAGGCAGCATCCCTTTGTCAAGACAGCATGTTAGGCCAGGCATGGTGGCACACAACTGTGATCCCAACAGAGGTTGAGGCAGGAGGATTGCCATGAGTTCAAGGCAACACTATGTTTGTGAGACTAGAGTGAATGGCTTAATTTAATCTGGTCCTGACATGGGTATCAAACCTTGTGGTTTGCCTGAATGCTTTGAATAGAGAGGAATATCTTGGGCCACATATAAAATACACAGTATAGTTAATATAGACACATAACAAGACTTTTTTTTCTTTGTTTTTTTGTTTTGGTTTTTTGAGACATGGTCTCGTTGTGTAGTTCAGCCTGTACTTGAACTCTCTTTGTAACCCAGGGTGGCCTCAAACTCATGTTGATCCTCCTGCTTCATCCTTCTAGGTGCTGGGATTACAGGCATGCATGCACCACCTCACCCAGCTTCTCTTATGTTTTAATACTTTTTATTATAGCATTTTTTTAAAAAGAGGGCAAATAACCTGGGTGTGTTATTGCATAGAGGTGATAGTCCTAAAAGTAATACTAAAAGATGGCACACCAGACAAAGAAAGTAGCATGGAGGCATAGAAAGCTGTACAGAAAATGACAAAAAATACAGTTTGACCAGAGATTAGATATTTACATAGGAGACATGAAAGATGAATCAAGAAAGGTAACTAAGGCCAAGGTATGGTGGCACACACCTGCAGTTCCAGTGTTTGGTAGCCTGAGGCAAGAGGATCACATGTTTGAGCCTAACATGGACAATTTAGAACTTACTGATACCCTGTTTCAAAAAGGGCTGAGGATGTACCTCAAAATCACAGTGGTTACATTTTTGTAGGTAGAAAACTGAGGTATCACTGAAAATTTATGAGTAAGAGAGTGAGTGATATACACCATGTAGAGCTTTAGAAGAATTATTCTAGCAGAATTCTCAATTAGGGCTTCAAATAGTTGCCTAAGAGAATTTCCAACAGTCCACCCACCTAGCCTTCTTGGATCAGAATTTCTAGGTGAGCTCAGGAATTAGTTTTCTGTGTTGTATTAATCCTGAATCACATCAGTTGCTTAATTGTGAAGGGCTCTGGCTGGTGGCATTGTGGACTACTGGCACGAAACAAGTGTGAGTGTATGTTCTGCCCCATAGTTCCAAACACTAACTAGTCAAAGAAAAGGACTGTTTTAACAATCAGGAAGGACTCCACAGAGAACAGGGGATTTGAGAGTAAAGATGAGCAGATTTGGTATGGATCAGCAGGAAAATACGTGATCAGACTGAATCCTGTAGGAATCACTGCGTTTTGACCCATTAGAATAGAAACTCTGGATCAAGGACAAGTGGGAAATAAGATTAGATATAGAGGTGCTTGAAGAACTGTCTCTGAAAGACAGGGTAGCAATCTTAAAAAGAAATACTAGAAGGAATATATGAAAACTCAGTCCTTCATTGAGAAAACAGTTCAGACACACTGCAAGCAATATTTTTCTGTCAGAGGAAAATACCTAAACATGTATGTTACTGTGTATCTTTCCATGGAAATTAAACTGTCTCATGAGAAACTTTACATTTCAATCAATGGTGTGGAAGTAAAACTCAATATTAGAGCTTTTGCCTAGCATGGAAAGTTCAAACCCCAGCACTGAAAAAAAAAATTTCAGCCGATAGGTGGAATATGTCTTAAGATTTTCTTGGAAAAAGAGCAGCCATTAACACACTACCACTTTTTAACTTGCAGACAATGCAGATAGTAGTACACTCCATGCTGTAACTTTCCTTCGAACTCCTGAGATTGTTACAGTAAATTCAATTGGACAATTAAAAATATGGGATTTCAGACTACAAGGAAACGAGCCCGCTCAGATATTATCACTGTAAGTATCAATTTGTAACTTCAGTAATGTAATGCAAAATTTTTTCAATTGTTTATCGTAACTGACTTTAAAACCATATTGTATTTTAATCACATCATAAGAATGATACTTGATTAAATTTAATACAGCAAGTGTAGCATGATGGCCTTGGTACATCCATGGTTCATTTAGTAATAATTTGTTGTATTGACTCAGGCTTTATCTTTGAAGTTTATTACTAAGGGAGAACTTGTTTCTGTCCATCAAATGAATGTGTTGATAGTAAAATATGTGCTAAATGTGATGGGGGAAAAATACCATTCAGCATATTTCTTCTGAACAGAAATTCCCCTATGTGGACTTGCCACCTTTGCTCCCTTTAAAAATAAACAAATAAATAAAATGTGTCATTCTAGGGGGAGAAAAAAGTTATATAGCCAGGCCTGTTAGTAATCGCAGCACTCGGAAGCCTGAGGCAGGTGGATTACTGTGAGTTCACCCTGGCCTGGGCTACATAAGCAAGTTCAAGGCAACCTGAACTACATAGTGAGACCCTGTCTCAAAAAAAAAAAAAAAAAAAGAAGTTATGTAAACTAAGCACACAATATGGTAATAATAAAGAACTCTACTAGAGTTAACAAATTTTATTAAAGCCTAAGAAATGGAGATATGCTTTATACATCTTAATCAGGTTATCTTGCTTCTTATGTTTTTCAGATTGAAGAGAGAATGAATGATTTCATCCTTTAATTCCAAAACATTTTTAGTTTATATTTTAATGTAGCTCATTTGTTGGCATCATTAAGATTTATTAGCTCCAGCTACATAATTATCATTTGGTTACTACAGTCAGACATATTTCTTGGGTTGGGCAAGGACAAACTCTACTTTACAATCTATTTGACATTACTGTCTCTCTCAAACAGGAATGGTGACCGAGTGCCACTCCACTGTGTTGACCGACATCCCAACCAGCAGCATGTTGTAGCTACAGGTGGCCAGGACGGAATGCTGAGTATTTGGGACGTTAGACAAGGCACTATGCCTGTATCTCTGCTGAAGGCTCATGAAGCTGAAAGTAAGTATTGTGGACAAGCACAAGATTATTATTGGATAAAACATGTGACTTAAGCACTTTTGCATAAGGATACATGTGAATCACCTTATATACAACTTTTAGTGTCTGAATTGCATAAATTTAATCCCTTTTTATGTAACATTTAGATTCTTCAACATATTTTGTTATTATACCCAAAACTACAGTAAATATCAGTATCTATTTATCTTCATGCACTTAGTTTCCTAGGATAAGTTTTTGGATATAGAATGGATAGGCCAAACTTTTGCATAATTTAAAGAAAACTTTGTTAATATATGTTTGCTGTATATAATGATTATATTGATCATGGGGAGTTGGTACAGACGCAACACATTTTAATTCCTTCTGTGTGGCTCTTCCTCCCCATTTGCAACATATCTGTCACCCTGTTTTCTGTTACCTTTTATTTTGCTCTTTAATTTATATATTCTTTGGATATATGATATAGGAGAAATCATGCAGTATTTAAGATTTTGTCTCTAGTTTTAACTAACATTATGGTCTCAAGGTGCATCCATTTCCCTACAAATGATTTAAAGTCTCTCTCACAGCAAAGTAGTACTCTATTGTCTATAAATACCACATTTTCTTTACCCACTCACCTATTGATGGACATATAAGCTGCTTCCGAGGTTTAGCTGTTATTGAATTGTGCTGCTATAAACATGAGTGCGAATATCTCGTTGTAATGTGATGCTCTTAACTCTTTGAGGAAGATAGCTAGATGCAAAGAGTTGGGTCAAATAGAATTTCTATTTTTAGTGTTTTAGGCTATCCGTACTGATAATCATAATGGCTGTACTAGTTTACACTCCCACCGATAATGTAGAAGGGTTCTTTTTTCTCTCACAGCCTTACCAGCATTTGTTAGTATTAGATTTCTTGATGATAACCATTTTTCTGGAGTAAGATGGAATCTCAGTATTGTTTTAATTTGCATTTCTCTAATGACCAGAGGTGGTGAATGTTTTTCCATGTATTTATTGGCCATTTATACTTCTTCCAGGAAGTGTCTACTGATTTCAGAGGCTCATTTTTCAATTGGTTCATTTATTTTGGGAGGGCCTAATTTTTTGGAGTCTTTACATATTCTAATATTAGTCCTCAGACAAAGTATAGCTAGCAAAATTTTTTTTCATCTGTAGATTGTCTTCACTCTGTCGGTTGATTCCTTTGCTGTGGTCCCATTTATCAACCCTTTGTTGTTCTTTGTACAGTGGGGTTCTGTTCAGAACGCCCTTGCCTGTGCCTGTCTTCAAGCCAGTTAAATGTTTCTGTTTTAATGTTTAGATCATTAATCCATTTTGATTTAATTTAGTATGTGGTGAGAGATACGGGTCCAGATTCAATCTTCTACATGTATATAGCCAGTTTTCTCAGCAGCATTTGCTAAAGAGGCCATCTTTCCTCAGCATATGTTTTTGCCCCTTTGTCAAAGATGAGATGGCTGTATGTGACTGGAGTTATTTCTATATCCTCTTCTGTTCCATTGATCTGTATGTCTCTTTTGTGCAAGTTCTACTTTTGCATAATTTTAAAGCTATAACACATGGTGTCATATTGTCCTACATAAAAATACCAGTTGATATTGCTATACTTAAGTGTGCGAACGTTCTCTTTCTCATGGAAATGCATTCAATTGTTTTTTGATGTTTACTAATCTTTTAATAAGAGGAATAATAGCTATATAGGCTATTGTCATGTGAAAATGGAATATATTTTTATAAATGGGAAGGGGTATGGTTCTAGAGATTTAACTGAGGGCATTATATATGCTAAGCACATATCACCACTGAGCTACATCCCTTGTTCCTGGATTAAACTTTTAAATTCTGATTTCAAAAAAGTTTATATTAAACTCTGCTTGTATAAAAGAACAAGAAAGCAAACATTGAACCAATATTACAACTTCTGATTAAATAAATTTCACATTATTTCCTTGAAAGGAAAAATGACTATTAAGATTATATTAAAGAAAACGGGGGGCTGGGGATTTAGCTCAGTGGCACAGCACCTGCCTGGCAAGCCCAAGGTTGTGAGTTCGATTCCCAGTACTGGAGAAAAACCAAAACAAAAACAAACAAAAAAAGAAACTACAACAACAAAAAAAAAGAAAATGGGGTGTGGTGGTGCACACCTGTAATCCCAGTACTCAGGAGGCTGAGGCTGGAGGATCACCATGAGTTCGAGGCCAGCCTCACCTACATAGTGAGAGCCTGTCTCAAAACAACAAAAACAAGCTGGGCGTGGTGGCGCACACCTGTAATCCCAGCACTCGTGAGGCTGAGCAGGAGGATCGTTGCAAGTTCAAGACCAGCTTTTCCCAGGTATAGCTATGCCAGACAACAAGAGAAGAAGAGAAAGCATGCCCTTCGAGATTCTGATGCTGACCAACCTGGAGGTAGACTTACAAACTCTCAATTCTCCTACCAATCCCTGTTAACTGCCAACCTGTATTAAGCAATGCACACAAATAAGTGGCTTGTCGGGTATCATTTTTAATTTTTAAAACATAGAGGTTTGTTTTTCTTTTTTCTATTTTTTTTTTGTTGTTGATGTTATCAGGAGTCAAACTCAGGACCTTGCACAAACCAGGCAGGCACTGTGCCACTGAGCTATATCCTGGCCCTGTTTTCTAATTTGAAAATAAATCCATAAAAATGTCTATTTGAGGCCAGGGATATAACTCAGTTGCACGGCACCTGCCTGGCAAGTGCAAGGTCCTGAGTTCAATTCCTGGTACCAAAAAAAAAAAATCCATTTGGGCAGTCTATGGCTCTTCAAGCTGTTTTGTTTCACTTTGTTTTAAGGAACAGTGTAAACATGCTCCCCAAGAATTTCCCCAAAATACATTCTTCTGCTGAGGAAGGTGACTTTTTTTTGTGCTTTGTGGCATGTTACTTAATTGTGGTAACTGTCAGAATGAAGACGTGCCAATCATTTTGTATGCCAGGCATTAGACACTTTCTGTGCTGATTCTTTAAAATGATCTGGCCCAAGGGCTGGGGATTTAGCTCAGCGGCACAGCACCTGCCTGGCAAGCACAAGGTCATGAGTTTGGCTCCTGGTACCAGAAAAAAAACAAAACAAAACAAGAAAATGATCTGGCCCAAACTCATAGAACCCTTGCTCACTGACTACCTGTTTTATCTAATGCTGCCGGTAACTTCCTGGGGAGCCCTGGCCAGTCAGTGCCTCCCAGATACCTGTGGACACACTAAGTTCCCTTAGAGCTGGGGTGACAGTCCACTATGGCTTCTTCGAAACACTTCATCTGAAATTGGATCCAGATTCTTGGAACTTCTACAAATTTTGATTTTCCAGGAACTGGTTGCTATTTCTGTGATACAGGCCAGAAGTATCCAGAGTGCTGGCATAAGCAAGTATTGGATTCTGCCTCTCAGAAATTCATTTGTTAAAGAAAAAGAAATTTATCTGTATATTTGTCTTATAGTTTCTTTTCTCAGTCTCTCCAATAATATAGTCTTCATCTATTAATGACATAGTAACTGGAAATAAAACAACTTTCCAATTTTTAAAAAAAGTCTTTTCATTATCATCCATGATCATTCTTTTCTATATACATGTAATAGGTCAACCCAAGTGTGATGGCACATGCCTGTAATCCCAACTACTCAGAAGGCTAATGCAGGAGTATCAAAAGTTTGAGGCCAATTTGGGCAATTTAATGAGACCCTGTAATAATTTAAAAAAATAATAATAAGGGAGATGGGTGTGGTGGCACACACCTGTAATAACAGCACTCAGGAGGCTGAGGCAGGAGGATTGCTGTGAGTTGGAGGCCAATCTGGGCTGAATAGTGAGTTTGAGACCAGGCTGAACTACATAGCAAGACTGTGTCTCAAAAAACCAAAATAATAATAATGCTAATAATAATAATAATAATAATAGTCTGGGGGCTGGGATTTAGCTCAGCGGCACAGCGCCTGCTTGGCAAGCGCAAGGTCATGAGTTCAGTTCCCAGTACCGGAAAAACACCGCCCCCCCCAAATAAACAGGGGGCTAGGGATTTAGCTCAGCGGCACAGTGCCTGCCTGGCAAGCGCTAGGTCATGAGTTCAATTCCCGGTACCGGAAAAAAGCC